GGCCCATGCCTAAGAGCCCCCGGCCCTGCAGGAAAAGAGAAGCCGGGGACCCATGTCCAGCCATAGTGCACAAAAGCACTGAGCCCAGACCTGCCCTTTGCCCCAGGGTACCTGATGTACAACCCCTCTTGAGAGACTGAGGTTTCCCCTCAAGGGACTGCCTTTTCCTGCCAGTCCCTGCTCTGCAAGGTCCCTGCCGTTGGACTGGCCTGCCAAAGGCAAAGATCTGGGGATGACTCTTACACTCCACAGCCGTGCTGACAGGGAGCTCAAAGGAGCAGGAGCCTTGGGGCAGAGGCTGTTCCCAGAAAGTCTGCTTTTCATCTGCAGCTCAGTCATGCAGCACAGGGTTTCTGTTGACAGCAATAGAGCAGATGAAGGGCCTAGGGGCACAGGCAGGGCTGAAAGCAGCAAAGTGGCTGGGAAGAGCACCATGCACCCCAGTAAAAGCACCACAGTAAAACAAAGAGGTGCTGGAGCAGGCTGCCACACACGCAGGAGATTCAGACAAGCCCTGAGCATGGCACAGACAAGCAAGCTTCAGCACCGATGGACATCTAGGCCCTAGGAGAGAGCAACGGCTAAAACCTGCCAACTCTCAAAGATGCTGACCCAGCTGGAACCATGTCTGAGCTGGTGCAGTCTGCTGACAAACAGCCTGCAGCTGTTACAGGAAAAGGGCTCCTTTAAATCATGCTTCTTGCTGCCCTTCCAGGCTGGGCTGGAGGACCACATCCCAGACTGCATGACATGTTCAACACTACATCCCTCTCACCTCTTTCTCACAGAAGCAGCATGTGGTCAACTGTGTTTCCCAGGGCCAGGTTCAAACTGAACCATCTCGAGGACCTAACGCAGGGCTGTGATAATTCCTTGCCCAGCACAACCCACAGAGAGAACCAGCAGCCCAGCCCAGGCTGCACACAGACAGAACAGGCAGGCAGAGCCAGGCTACAGGGCAGGTCACAGAAGGAGCACAACCTGGAGCTTGAATCTCCTTTGCCCCATGGTAGAGCCCAGGCAGTTTCCAAGCACTGGCACAAACCCCTGCTAGAAGGCCCCAGATGCACCTCACACTCCCAGACACACGCACACTCTCTCACAAGCAGCACAAGGGGAACCCAACCACATTCCAGTGCTCTCACTCCCACCCCCACTCCTCCGTAACCCAAACGGCACCCATAACACACAATCCCAGCAATAGTTATGCCCTGCAGCATAAGAAAAAGGCTCTGACCCTCTCCCTGTTCAGCTGGGCCACACTGCTGGCCCGCTGCCCCCCTGCATACTCAGCCGACGGAAGTTGAAGCGGTAGTTTTTCCACTCTTCCAGGTCACTTGTGTCAAACACAGCATTGGGACTCAGGTCGTTTTGAAGGTCGCTGAGGATCTCGGCCACAGTCCCCTCATCCCCAGTCAGCAGGGCCTGCCAGTAGACCTGGGCAGAGCCATCCGCCTTCCGCGTGCAAATGGGCTCCTGACTCTTGTCTCCTCTGCCTGTGATGCTACGCATGATGCAGTACCCAGACCCTCCACAGAAGCCAGGGCAGGACCTGCTGCTGCCTCACCAGCCAGGCTCTGAGCCTGTGGGTACAGCCCTACCAGTGCCCTGCGCTCCAGCTGACGGGCTGCCTGTCTGCCCTGGGGTGCTCCGCACGGAGGGAGGACATGTCACATCACTGCTTGGCCCAGGCTGGGTACAGCTCAGGTCTCAGCTGTTCTATTTTGGGAAACCTTGTGACCAAACGTTTGGGCCAAGAGGCTGATAAGGACACTCCTCTCAGGCAGCAGTATCTCTGCCGTCACTGGCTGTGAAGGGACAGCCCCTAGGCAGGGCAGGGTAGCAGAGTAGCCTGAAGGGTAGAAATGGAGACAGGACATCACTAAGAAAACAGAGAGAGAAGTAGTCTGATGCCCAACTAGCCTGCTGTGTCATCCAGCTGCTGCCCAGACCACAACAGCACAACCCAGCTGCCTCCATACACCACCAGCACACCTTTGTCCAGCCCTTGGCTCCTTGCACATCTCCAGCACTGCACCTCCATTTGCTAGTTCCACCTGAGCCATTGGCACTAAACAAGCCACAGCAGAGTTCTTTTTAATCAAAGCTTAAAGCCAAAGGACAGGTAGAAACAGGTACATTACAAGCAAACTAAAAACATACAAGGTAATTATCCTTTAGACCCCTTCCTACTTTCCCTTGAAATTCAGCCTTGCAGAGAACTCCTGCATGATTTCAGTACTCCCTTTCCCATCCTCTGACAGTCCCCTCACTCAGGGCTCCTCACCGCTGTCCTTTCACCTGAGATGGCATTTTCCCCCGTCCCTACTTAGTTGTACAAACTCACCTTATCCCTACGTTGGTTACAGAACAGCACACTTTGCTCACAGTTGGCCAGCATTGTGTGTAAAGAACACATCTAACTGCATGGAACATTCTAAAGAACACATCAAACTGTATGGAAGACTAGTAGCATTTAGTTTAATTTTGTGTCATGGAACTGTTCAGATCATGCAGCTAAAAAACAAGTTAAGTGACCCCAACAGACCATCCAGCTGGTGGGATGCTCTATTACCCCAAAAATATAAGCAGGTATCCCACAAGAGCCTGAGGTTCCCAATCACAAAAGCATCGCCAGGGAGACAAAAGGCTGTGTGTGTTGGTGTCAGTAACACCATACAATTCACACTTCCTCTGGGCTTCTTAAACTATCAATACGGATTACTTGGGAAAGACCAGGTCACTAGAATCTACTTTTAAGGTCACTGGCTGGGTAAGTTTTAAGAAACTGTCCCTGCAGCCCAATGAGATACATAACCAAAGCCTTAGGTAGCATTGTTGTGGTTTAACCCGGCTGACAGCTAAACACCACGCAGCCGTTCGCTCACTCCCCCCACCCCAGTGGGATGGGGGAGAGAATCGGGAGGGGGGACATAAAATTTGTGGGTTGAGATAAAGACAGTTTAATAGGACAGAAAAGGAAAGAAAAATAATAATACTAATAATGATAAAAGAATACACAAAGTAAGTGATGCACAATGCAATTGCTCACCACCGCCAACCAATGCCCAACCAGTTCCCAAGCAGTGGTCACCGCACCCCAGCCAACTCTCCCAGGTTTATATACCGAGCATGACACCATATGGTATGGAATACCCCTTTGGCCAGTTTGGGTTGGCTGTCCTGGCTCTGCCCCCTCCCAGCTTCTCACTGGCAGGGCACGAGAAGCTGAAAAGTCCTTGACTAGTGTAAGCACTACTTAGCAATAACTAAAACATCAGTGTGTTATTGTCATCCTAAATCCAAAACAACACTATACCAGCTACTAGGAAGAAAATTAACTCTATCCCAGCCAAAACCATGATAAGCATGAAGTTTTGCTTTGGTTTTTGTTCTATACCCTTATCTGATAAATTTGGCAGTACATTTTTGGTCTGTGCTTGATGAATAATCTTGTTTGGTTGGGTTTTTCACATTTTGAAACTTTAGTGATAAGAGCAATTTCTGTGTGAAGTTGTTTTACATCAGCTGTTGTTTTCTTTGGGGCACAAATCTTTACAAGCAGATTGACTTGCTGTTCAAGTGTCTGTCAGCCCAGCATAAGACAGGAGTTAAAATATGCAATTAATATTTTTCTGACAAGTGGTCTCAGTTACACAAAATACCTTTTGTATTTTTATTCCTAGGTAGACTGTAACAATTCAAAACCTGGGTTGTACAAATCTTGGAACTCAGTAAATCTTCACCACCCACAAGTAGCAGCACTTGCATCTGCAAGCCCACCCTATCTGTTTGTCTCTTGCTAGTGTGGATCCCCACAAAACAGTCATGGTCAAGCTTTATCAGTGTGCTCCATAGCTTTGTGCCAGGACACTTGAAAAGAACCCACATCTGTGCGAAAGCGGCCCTCATCAACAGCTTTTCCATTCTGGAACAGGGGGGCTTTTGCCACAAACCTTCTGTGGAAGAGTGGTGCAATTATGGCCCCTCCACACCTGAGACTCCCCGTCTTAAATTCTGGGAGTCTGCCTGCACCACACTACTAACAGACAGCAGCAAGGACGTGCACTTCCAGATTGCTAAGCGCATCTCTCCCTTTAACACATCAGCTATGCTGCTTACTGAAAAGCTGATAGAGGACATTGATGAGAAGGTAAGCAAAATGGACCAGAAAGTGTGGAAGCATGTGTGGTAGCCACAAGATGTATCTGGGCAAGGTATAGTGAGGTGTATAGATGGGAGGAAACACCAAGAATGACCAGCTTCTACCTCCTGTCACCCAGGACCAGCTTGCTTCCACTCTCTCTCTGATAGACTAGATTTCTGCTCCCCTTGCCCAATCCATCTCACAGAATAGAACAGCTTGCAGGGTGCAAACCCCACGTGAAAGAAAGCAAAACAGCAAATGCTTTTGTTCTGGAGCAAAGCCCCCCTCCAGCTGATCACTGTTAACCCTGCCACATCAATGCCCCTGCAGCTTCTCAAAGTCAGTGTTTGGAGCAGGGATCGCAATGGCTCTGCTTCACACCCGGATTTCACCACAGCAGCAGGATTAGGTAGATAGGGAGCAATTGTGGCTTGGTCCCCAAGCAGCTGCCTACAAGGCTGAAGCACAGCCATGCCTCTTCCTCAGGATATGGGCTAAGCTCTGCCTGAAGGGCACCGCTAAGACCTCTCTGCTGTTCCCAAAGTATGTCACAGCCTCCAGTTTCTAATGAACTGAAGTAACAGACCCAACTTGAGACATAAAGCAGGAAAAGCATCCTTATGCCACCTGATGCCTTCTCACCCACGCACTCTCTCCACCTCACACATACCTCCATCTATCCCAGCAACCTCTAACAGGACAGTCCTGATGTTGTTCCTTGAAAGCAGCCCTTCCAGGGGCACTATTCTCACTATTTCCCAGTAGATCTGCCCCTAGCCACCTTCAACAAGCCTGCTACCATTTGTTCTATAGCCCTGGAATCCTCCTTCTTTATCCAAAAGCCTTTCTTCCCAAGTCCCTCTTCCACCACCCTGTCTCCACCACTGGGGATTCCTCTCAAAGCTTTTCTCAGGTGCCTGTGCTCTTTCTCTGGTCCCCATCCTGGGCACTTCCCATCCCCCCATGTCCCAGCCCTGCACACCCACCAAATTTCCTGCTAGTCCAGCGCAGCTCATCTCCCTTTGTCTCAATGATGAGATTGATGGCTGCACTCTTGGTGAAGTACTTCTGCACCATCTCCAGGTCCCCAGTGAAGAGCGCATTCTGGACGAGCAGATCCCGGCACTCCAGTGGCTCCAAGCGGCTGTTCTGGCATCCCTGGCCAACTGGGCTCAGGCTGTGCTCACTGTGGTGGTACTGGGGCCTTATACGCCAAGCGTACTTCCACTGATCGAGCTGCTCCTCATCCAGCTGCAGCAAGCGTTGTGTGGCAGAGCTGAACGGAAAGGTGCAGCCCATTATGGGGAACAAACAGGGTAAGTCTGAACCTTACAGTAAACAAGCTGCTGCAGGCAAGAGCCTTTTATCCAAGGCTACGTCCTTGGCAGGTTGCTCCTGGGTTCCAGCTCCCCAGTGTCTGGCTGGATTCAGGCACAGGCCTGACTCACCCAGTATAAATAGTCCTGCTTGGCAGCTCCCCTTCACCACCTCCCCTCCTTCCAAGAGCTTATTTTCAGTTGCTGGATGCAATCACCAGCACAGATTAGGCACAGGAGAGGGGTAGCAGGGAGCCTTGAAACACTCTCTATGTGCTTGCTTGTTTGCTCTGCAAAGTCTCCACTCTGCACTGTGCTCCCACTTGGAAAGAAACAGAGCAAGGTGGGGGCAATCACAGTGAGGGGTAGCTAGAGAAAGGCCTGCAGCAGAAGTGGTGTCAGAAGTCATAAGGCACTGAGTTCAGAGGCCTTCCCCACAGGCAACTCCACAGGGACCAAAAAAAACCCTTATAAGCCCCACACACTGCTCTTGGGAACCCAGCATCTTCACTAGGGCAGCGAGGCTGGCTGCCTGGACATGGCTGAGCAGAATAAAGGAGGGCATGTAGGCAAGCCCTGGGAAAAGCAACTTGTATGACATGATCCAAGTTTCATAGCAATAAGGAAGACAGTCTCCCATGCAAACCTTAAGAGGTTGACAAGTGTCTTCAGGCTTCTGGGGGGGGTATGCCCAGCTATGCCATCCACCCCTCCAGCCACAGTGGGTCACATTTGGAGGGATGAAAGATGCTCACTCTGCAGGGCATTAGCTAGGATGTTGCAGTAGCTTGTCATAGGTTTGGGACCTGCTAAACTTTGCTTACCTCCAAATTACTCTCAAGTACTCAAGAAGTAACTAACCTGTTAATTGCTGTGTCCCTGCCAACATAAGAACCTTCCAGCTGGGCAGGCTGTGAGTGCCAGCAATGACAACAGGGACTCATTAGCTGCTGTGGGAATTTCAGCCAGTATTCTCTACCCAATCCTACAAGTGAGAGTGTCTGGTGTCACTGGAGTGACACAGCAGAGACCTAAAAGAGTGCTTGAGGGCTAATGGGAGTGTGCACCCAGACCACATACCTCTATGTGGAACTGCTACACTGACCCACTGACTTGCTCCTGGACCATGCTGTCCCACTGGACAAGGAGGTTTTGTTAGAAGCCATGACATCAGCCCACCTGACTTATCTCCTGGACTGCACCATCTATCCTGCAAAACAGGCAAGTTGTGTCACTTGTTAATATTAAATATATATGTGACCAGAAGGTTTTTATGGTTTTGGGGCTGTTCTTTGGGGGAGGGGTTGTTGTTAGTGTTGCTTTTTTTCT